AACAAGAAAAATGTGCTGCAAACATTCAATACAGATATAATTTCCTCTAAATTCACTTTTAATTTATGATGATTTTAATTGATACATGAAGACATAAAAATTGTTCCTGTTAATGGGGTGCTATATGATGTTTTGATACATGTAGTGTTTAAATTAGGTCAAATCATATCTAGATCATTGATCATCTATCATTTTGTGTCATAAAAAACTTTCAAATATCTTTTAGCTATGTGAAGTGTGCAGTATATTAGTGTGATTTGTAGTTACACTACTATGCAATAGCACATAGAATTTCTTGTTCAGCCTAACTGTACCTCAGTACAGTTGATCTTACCAAGTATTGTTTACCCATGGTTGGTTGAATTTAAAAAGTTCAGAATCTATGAATATGAAGACCAACTGTGTAATGCATTTGCGATCTATCTAGTCAGCAGTGTGGCTATTTTCAGTGTTGTATGTATTCCATAGTCTAGATATAGCCATGGATATTTGTAGTGTTTCCTGTTTGTGACAGCTTTGTGACAAAGTTGCTCTGATTATCTGTGGCCAGTTCTCATGTGGGCAGATAGCTCTCAGCTAAGGGGCCTGGTACCTGAAAACAGGGCTGGCAGGAAGAAACCTGCCAGAGTCCTTAGGTGGTGAGGTGAACACCCAGCAAGAACAGAAATTCAGCAGGGAGACCCTGCAAGGCTGCAAGGTTCTTGACTATTAAATGGTTGTATGTGCAGCATAAGGTCAGGAAGTTGGCAATGGGGATGTCACTCAGTGGTAGAGTGCTTGCCTAGCAAGTGAGAGTCCTCCACCTCACTTCCCAACATGGGAGCAGTTTAAATTACCATAAGCTAGTTTTTTTTTTTTTTTAATTTTGTTTTTCCATGAGAGTTAGCACAGGCCAGTGAAGAGCTTTATGAGAAAAGTGTAAAAAGCATGTTTTGAAACAGAGTAACTAAGAATCTGCTTTTAGCCATAGCAACGGGTCCATTTAAATAATGTAAGTCTTGGACATTCTGAAACTTTAATATAATTCAAGGGTTAATTGAATATGAATCACTCAGTCTTCTTCAGAGAAAAGTGTGTTGATGAGGGAAACCTGTATTGCTGTGGCGTGGTGCTGACCAGCCCTTGGACTCATAGCTTTATGTCCTACATTAATTTGAGATGTGTGTCTGGTATGTTAGGAGGAAGGAGGGTGCTGTGGTCAGATACACCTCAGTTCAATTCTGGGCCACACTGGGAATTTGGGCAGCTCCTTACTGTCCGGAAACCGCAGCTTCTTCCTTTGCTGTCAGGATGGCAGTGCACCCCTCACAGGTTACTTAAAAGAATTTGTAAATGTGTCTCTCAGAGCCTGAGCTGTTTTCCTCACTCCAGTGTCATCTGTCTCAAACCCACCCACCCTCCTGTATGTATCACCCGGTCATTTTGTAGCTTTTCATTTTAATTTAAAAAATTTGATTAGTTTTTTTTTAATATAAACATATGTGGTTAAAGCAGAACAGGAAGTTCCTCTTTTTGTTTGGTTTTTGTTTTGTTTTTTTTCGAGACAGGGTTTCACTGTGAAACAGTCCTGGCTGTCTTGGAACTAGCTCTGTAGACCCAGCTGGCCTCGACCTCACAGAAATCCACCTACCTCTGCCTCCCAAATGTTGGGATCAAAGGTGTGTGCCACCACCTCCCAGCTAGAACAGAAACTTCTAATGGGAACGTTTTTCACGTCCCACTTATTTATGTTCTTGCTTGTATAGAGTCTGTGGTGTGTGTGTGTGTGTGTGTGTGTGTGTGTGTGTGTGTGTGGTGTTTGTGTGAGTGTGTGTGTGTGTGTATGTGTGTGCATGCTCGCGTGCTCACATGTGTGTATGTGTTGTGTGTATATACTCAGTGCACACAGATTGGCATTATGTGAACTCTAATTCAACTTGCTTTATTTCCTTTGTGTATCTTAGATATCTTTCCAAGCCAGTACACACAGTCCCTGAATTCTGTTTAATGACTTCATTGTACTTTATGTTTTGAGTTGTTTATAGTTTTGCTGGTTAGATGTGTTCTGTTCTTGTACAGATATCTTTGAATCTTGAACCCATACTCACTCCCGTGAATTTCTGGACTTGTAATTGCGGCATTAGGATTCACATGCATGCACATCATTAGCTATTATGTGTATGATTTGCCACCTTACAGTTCTCACCAATATTGCTAAGTGTCTTTGTCCACCGTGTGAACAAACTGGAGGACAGGTCTTGCCTCTGTGAACCCTTCCTTCATGACAGTCTATACTGTTCTGCTCACTCCTTTCTCTTGTGCTCTTTCCCCCACCTCACTGTGGAATGAATCCAGGGCCTTATGCCAGGCAAGCACTCTGCCACTGAGTTACCTACCCAGCTCCTATCTCCCTGCTTGTGAGAAGAAGCTCATGGCCTGGAGAAAAGACAGACCCATAAAAGCCTTTATAGACCCAGCTGAGCATGCTGCCAAGACTGTAGAAGTGGCATGGATGGACATTGTGTTGGACCCATGCTGGTGGCATGACATCCAGGTTTGGATGTGTGGCTAATATGGTTGCTTGAGGAATGCTTGTACTTCCCTGCTTGCAAAATGCTTTTTCTGAGCCCCAGTTTATGGACCTTTTACTTAAAATGTCATTGCAACTGAATAAATCCATTAGTAGCTAACTTACCTGTTTTCTCAGGTTGTCTTATGTGTGTGGGTTGGGTGGCCTTTGGCTTGTTCTCAGGCAGCCCAAGTTTAACAGGAGTGGCTTTGAAAGGTTCTTCCTTAGATGATTTTTTTCTTTGCCTAACAAAAGTGCTTTATCTTAATTTTAGAATGATTTTAAGTCTTGGGATTAAGTTATATTAATTCCTGAGCCTAGTCTGATTAGATCTCATCCCCAAATTCAAGGAAGTTAGCCTTGTATCACACTAGCCCAGCTTTGGGATGTGAGCAGCTAAAGGGAGTTGCCAGAGAAAATTGAGATTTGTACCAGTCACAGCATAGGCAGGTGGTCCAGAAATGGGAATGGCGTTGCCCCACAAGGTCAACTCAGTAATCTAGCTGGTGGGCAGTTGAACTGTTTCTAGCATATGGCTTCCATTGCTTCTTTGATCTCAAACCTTTGTTTAAGCCTTTTCTAACTTATTTCCATGTTTAAAGGAAATTTAGGCATCACTGTGTTGAGAAGAAAGTTCTCATTGCAGAAAACTCATCAGGTGGACATTAAATATTAAATGGTGGAACAAGAAAGGCAGGGGTTTAGTAGTGCTATAGAAATAAGCTGGGCAGAGGCAGGCAGATCTCTGGGAGTTCGAGGCCAGCCTGGCCTACAAAGCTACACAGAGAAACCCTGTCT